TTAATGGAAAAAAGTGTAAAACGGCCATTTTGTTGTACTGTTACCATACTGCAGGTGTACTTCACATATTTATGCTATATAACCTGTTGGGCCCTGGAATATCATTTTATAGAAAATCTAAAATTATTGTTAAAAATAACCCAAATTATGAAATAGGCAGGTTTCATAATTGACCAATGATCATTTCACATAGACTCTATGCCTTCCACTTTACAAACGATGATTTTCCGTTATAACTATAAATCAAATGATGTTTTTATTCACCTAATTCATTATAAAGTTTATTTAGAAGTTTAAAAAATTCGAAATTGAAATGGATAGTCTAGGGAACGTACTGTATTAATGTACTCTACTGCATATAATTTGTGAATATTTACATGATTTGTACACTTTGAACTCCTTTTCAGGCTGAAAGGGACTGACAAAATTCATACCGAGAGATTCTTTTAATTCCTCTCTATATATTCTATTCTCTATGGGTTTAATGCCGGCCGAAATTTAAGAATTTGGCCTCATAACGGCTAAACCGAGCAGGCCTTAATCTGACCCCTATCCGACAATGGTTTACACCCAGTCAAATTTTTTTTTTAAAAAAGCTGGAGGTGAAGGAACGATTTTATGCTTTTTTAAAATCCATTATCAGAAAAATCCAAAAATTGCAGTTTAAAAAATGTATTGAAAAAGCAAAACTATAGCGTATGGAACAGCATAATTTTGGCACTATAAGACTATTGTAAATTTCATGTTTAATATCGGAAAAGCTTTACTAAAAAGAATTAAATGTTTTGGAATTTTAATATGCAACCATCTCAAACTTCGGTTTAAACTCAAATCAAGAGGAAATAGAAGGTCACAAAGTCGTACATATAGAAATTTCGAATTTATTTTTATTGACTTGAACGTTTTGCTTAACATGTTAAATTCTAGTTAGTTTAACGTGTCTGCAGGAGAAATGAATCATTAGACATTTATGATTAAAAGGTAACCCCTCTACAATAATACTATTCATCAACTATTACTAATATATTGTCCTTGGCCTGCCATAGATAGAGACGTCTATATAGTTGCGTAGCGTGGACAGAATATGACTCATCCTAATTCTAGAAAGCCCTATTTCAAACACGGGGATTTCGAGGATTCCCCCTTCTACTTGACTATTTTTATCAATAAAAGAACTATAAAGCATTGAGTTGTTTTGATATCAACATTTTTTAAATTAAATTCAGTGTTAACAACAATTTATTAAACAAAAACCTAACAACTAAACAAAGATTTGCAGATTTCCCCAGAAAATTTTAATTGATAAAAAAATCAAGTGGCATCGAGCCTAAGTTTTTTTTATAGTATATAATTACTAACTTTGTTACAAATCTTAAGTATTTTTAATCAGCTGGTTGGGGAAAAAAGAAATGATTTAAAATTGCAATAATGAAAAAGCTTAATTATATTTAACAAAACATTAAAATTAAAATTTAAAAATTAAATGATTTACATCCTGACCTTTATTTTTATTATTTTATTTTAGGATAATAAATTAAACATGATGATTTCATGAAAAGTGAATTAGGTAATTTTAAAATATACAACCTCAGTGGCGCAACGTTCACAAAAAAATACAAGTATTAAAAACTGTTATAAACCCGACCTATAAAGTATTTTTAAGGATTTACTATTTTCATGAGAAACCCTTAGAAATTTAAGCGACGACTTCTCTCACTTTTAGACCAAATTTGATCCTAGCAGTTGTATCATTTTTCCAGACTTTTCCTAAAATGGTCGTTCATTTATTTTCATCAATTTTGTTTCTGCTTTCCTTTTATAACCCCAGCTAGGACTTTGATTATACAACAAATGTTTTTCCCCCATGAGACCCCCCCCCCACCCAATTCAAATTCTCATCCTCATTCTTTGAATATCTTAAATTCTTGCTCAATTTCCAGCTAAATGTAATTATAAATGTAAAAATGTATGTTAAGCAAAACCTTGGAAAAGAATGAAATGCATTTAAATCTAACACATGTTGTCTTGGGCATCTAATTTGTTATTAACCAAAATAAACGTCACAATCGTTGGAATCCTACTTTGGTATTAGTATGAAAAGAGCAGGGACTCTGTAGAAACCAATTTTAGATGCGTCAACGAGAGGAATTATTTCCGACAAAAATGTCACGTCGGGGTGACCAAAATGAGGTGACGAATAAAGGACCAAAATAAACGGTGGGCTGGTGTTTCAAAAAATCATAAATGGTTAACTGTTTTTTTTTATAAATTAAGCTACAGTGCTAATCAATAGCTATAATAACATGTCTCATATGTCAATATTTGCTCAAGTAAAAATTACTATTTTGGAAAAAATTTTGGACATACTTTTTAAACTTTTTAAAACTACTTCCTTACACCCAAATCATTAAAATTGAGGTATAACTTTTGTTTTATGAGGAGGCCTTGAAAACTTGGACTAGTGACATGTTTCACAATCACGCTCCCCTATCTCAACTCTATGTGCAAAATCATAGGGGGGGGGGTGAAAAACACCCCCCCCCATCTAAGACAAAAATAGCCCAATTGGGATAGGGTTAAGTTTTAAAATGAGGCATGTTTGCGTCCTCCTTTATACTTTCTTGCATGTACGTCCTTCATTTACTGCCTTTTTATGAGGCTAAATGCTCCAACATGGCAGTTTTTTTGGCCGATCAGGATCCAAAAGTGAGTTCCTCTGAAGACATTAAGATTCTTCCATTTGGAAACTTGCCAATGAAAACTCTTTTTTATTTTATTGCAATCCCCCAAAATACCCCAACGTGCATGGAGGAAGGGGGGTTGACAATATCTAAGCAGGAAAAATGATTTTTTTATTTTAGTCTAAAACTGTTTTTCTCTAACATGCGCGAAACTCCTCTCGGCTTCTGTCTTATGGTTATTGTGAACCAGTTTCATCCAAATCTTGAAAAGACGACATCTAGTGTCCTATCTGTTATTTTAATTAATCTATGGTCCCTATATTCTAGATTTATACGTAGTGATGGGCACGTTCTGAAACATTTAGGGGTTTTTCACGTTAAAATTTTCACACAACAATTAAATTGCAAAATTGTATTCTTGATAAGTTTGCTTTAATTACATTATACGGTTTTTTTCTAATCAAAGATATTACCATGTAACGATTTTGCAAAACTAAAATCAATTTTCGTATTGTTCTGAAAATCATTTTGGTGAATATATTTTTGGTTAGAATAAAAATATTGCATCATGTAATAAAAGCAAACTCGTCTAGCATCAAATTTTGAAATTTGATTCACATCTCAGAATCTTAAAAACTTTAAATATTTAAAACCGGGCCTCAAATTTAATAGCTTCAATTTAAAAGGAGTAATTGGCAAAATACTGCTCAATTTTGCATGAGAGATTGTGCACTTCTGGTTTGCAGTGCAATGTACTTATAAAGTTTATCGAAAATAATGCATTATAAGTATAAAATAATAGGAAAAGGGAAGCACAACATGGAAGCCTGTATAATGTATATCTAAAATATTTTTTGTTGCTTATTGGCTACCTATATCTAATATATCCATAATAATAAAGAATACAGCTGGTAAAAAAATTATCGTTTTATACTTAATTAAACGATTTTTTTGGCATAGGTGATGCTTTAGAGTAAAAATATTAAAATTTGGTTAACAAAATGTAAAAATGATTATTGAAAATACAGAAACAATTAATCCGCGCAATATTTGTTAATCGGAATATATCATTAAGCTATTCTGCAGTTCCAAATTTTTTAAAAGTTTGTTGACTTAAATGAAACGTGATCCGCGGAAAAATGGTAAGTACAAATCTGCAGCACCAAATCTTCAGGAAATCAAACTTTATGAAATGTATCTATTTATGTTTACAAATTCTCCCTATTATGAATTACATTTCCAATAACAAGTTTGTTGGAAAACGATTAATTATAGACAATTTTGCCATATCTTTGAAGACTTGGAGTAGATTTGAACGGATATTTTTGCGGATTTTTGTTACTTTTAGTAATAGTTTTTTTTTTAATTTGATCAAAAGATTTTTTTTTTGAAACTTTGGAATTAATTATATTATTAACAGTTTCTAATCTAGTTCTACAGAAAATAAAGTTTACCAAAAAATACTTTCGCGGATTTTTCTATGTACCATTCGTATGCATTCGGTTGATTTAAAAAAAATATTTTTTCACCTAAACCTATATTTAAAAAACCGCATTCAAACATTTTTTTATTGTTTTGAAAAATAACTCTTTTTTCACTCACGAGACAAAAGTCAACCTAAATATTAAAATAGTGACCTTGTATATAGGGTAAAGTTTGAAACAAGGTATTGATGAATCAAGAGATATCTAGATGACAGAAGATAGATTAAATAAAATTTGACAAAAATGATAATTTGGTTTGAAGATGAAGTCGACCCACAAACAAAAGTCTTAAGATTTTCGTAGAGGGTGGCCCGAGAGCATATTATGGAGAAAAAATGTCAAAATGCCCCGCATGAAAATTGGTTTTGCTTTTTTCATGATTCTAGGCCAGTTAAGGCATATATTTCCTGCAATCTGAACTTTCAAGTCGATCTGGCTACAGCTGCAGCAATGCTTTCCCTCACATCTTTTTACCCCCCCAGGTAAAGTAAATAAAACATTTAAGCATCATGTTTTAAAATTGTCTTCGAGTTCTCTGAGTCTATTTTTGTTTTTCCTTTATGCTTTTTAGTTAGTGTTTACGCCGTGGTTACTTTCCACACAGAATTATTAGTATATTAGTAGTATTACTCATTGACGAGTCCGTATCCACAGTGGGCAAAAAAGGGGTCAGAAAACTAAACAACATTTTTTTAACCGTTTATTAAAAGTTACTATTTTTATCATTTTTTGGAAAAAAAATATTTTTCCATTTTTAATGATTCCCTGTTAGACCCGCTGTGCTCAAGAGGATGACTCACAGTAGTGAATGACGTCAGCATTAGCTCTGGAGCAGCAGAATTCCTCAGTCTGTCGCGGGCCGCCGTCCCCGACATAACAACAATGCTAAGTGAAACACTAAAAAGTCGGGAGTCTCTTAAACTCTCGTTCAGTCGAAGCATATCGGAACCCGGACACAACTCAGGATCTCTCACCATGTCAACTCTAGTATCTCCCCCTTCAATATCTCCTAGCCTGCATCCTCCTAAACGATTTAAACCCGAGTATCTCAATAAACCCAAAACTCTATCCCCCCCTGGGACCGAGTTCTTAACCCCCCCAACCTCATCTACCATCAGTCTCCCCACCAGCCCCTGCACGGAGTCCTCGACCCTGCAACGCTCCCTAGTCATCAAGAAAACCGGAACTATAACCGGAGAAGGATTGGCTAATAGGATTCAAAAACCGGGCAAGCCCGCAAAAACATTTTTACTCTTAGACTGTCGCCCCTTTATTGCGTACAATGTTAGTCATATTCGTGGCGCAATTAACGTGAATTGCTGTGATCGATTCAACCGTAAAAGGTTGCAGCAGGGCAAAGCAAGTTTGGCGGATTTAGCCACAACAAAAGAGGGCAAAGAGCAGTTGAAAAAGCGGAACTGGAAAGAGGTTATTGTGTACGATGACGCCAGCTCCGATCTGACCAGCCTACCCTCATCCCATACACTATTCCTAGTTATTAATTCTCTTGTAGAAGATCTCAGACAGCCTCTTATGCTAGTTGGGGGACTCAGATGTTTTCAGGTATTTAGAAATAAATTTTTGAAGAAAAAAATATCGCACATTTTTCACATATTTAGCACATCAAAACAAGAGGCGTATTCAGGGGGGGGGGCTATGGGGGCAAAGATAATTTACCTTTAAACCTAAGTTTCTAACCTTATATCTTTGCAATATAATGTTGTATCGGCCTTTGAAATATCAAGGATTTAAATCAATTGGGTTTTTAAAGATACATATTAAGAATTTGAAATTTAACTAATTAGTACATTTCTTCTAAAATTATATTAGTAATTTTCGCAAAATTCACGGGAAAATTTCAATATTACATGTACGGCTTCTTTTCCAACGATCTATAAAATCATAAAGAGCAGAGAAAATGTCGAAAATCAAATTTATAAAGTATTTTTCAGTTATTACTCCCCCCCCCCTTCCCCCCAACACACACACACCAAACAAAGTGCACTCCTCTTAATACTTAAAAGCAGATGGTTGTATTTGTACACAGATGAAATTTAAATAATGCTTGAACAGATTTCAGACCCCCCTCCCCGTCCCTCGTCATGTGACTCATATATATATATGTGCTACTCTTGACCGTTAAAAGCAATTTAACATATATGTCCGGGGAATTCTTGAATATCAGTCTGTGACCCCGGTTTGGCTATAAGATACGTAGCTTTCTAATTTATGGGGTATTTCTTAAATCTCCCCCCCCCCCCCTGCGATTGTCCAGTTTTATTTCATCAGCTATGCTAGAAAAACGAGGACTCTACATTTAGGGGTTTCAAGTAATGGATTAAATTTAGGGGGGACGGATGAGTAATTTTATTTGAAAGAAGGAAAGGGGGCGTTTAACCCCCCCCCCCCCTCCTGGCCACTTGGTGCCAGAACAGATGTACTTGATGTGTAAGCTCTGTAAACTGATGATGAGTCATATTGTTTGATTTCACGTTTTTAACCACGTTTCAGACACCACAATGAATGAATGAAAATTTCCTTCGTAGAAATAAATATTTCTGGTTCATTGATTTTGCATAAAAGTTTTACTTTTCGCATATTTTTTGCATCCCTTATGTGCACATTTGCATACCCGAAAGAAAGCGAAATTTTTCCACAGTTTTTTTTTTGTTTTGTTTTTTGTTCTAATACAATCATTCAACTTACATCACCCAATTATTTTAGAATTTTACATATTGCAACGTGAAACGAAAATATCAAAATTATTTATCTAATTTTTAAATAAATACAAAAACTTCTCTACGAAACATTTTAGGATGAATGAACGTTCTTTAAATCGTACTCACGTAACTGGATTTTATAGTATTTAGTAATAACTATTTATAACACTGTTATTTTGGTTCGCAGTGTTATAAAGTTTTTGGACAGAAATATTCTCTTTATCGAGAAGGTTTAAGCCTTCTTGAAATTTGATTTTGTCTCGAGCTTTAGCGTGGACGGTGGGTCAAAATATAATCTAAAAAGGCGAGAACCGTCGAGACATGGAGAAAATTTAAGTCCAAAAACTTTATAGCACGTCGTGCCAAAATCATAGTGTTATAGGTAATTTTATGAAACGTTTGTGTACTTGTCTTATTTCAATGGCTATTTCTAGATCAAATAAGCTTTGAAACAAAGCAGAAGTCAAACTATTTTTATTTCAATAAAAAAATTTTTTTGAAAATATCCTTATTTTTTTAAAGAAAATCCGGGAACCAATCAAAACTTTGCAGCACACGTACTATGCATACAGCTAATTTAACTTCATAGCACGATGATTACTTTATAGCACGTTCATTATGAAATTCACGATGAAGTTAGGAAGAATGATAGAGTACACAATAGTTTCGTAAAAATCATTAAAAAGTCCTGGTTTTCTTTTTAAGTGAAGGCGCAACTTTAAATGGAGAGGGGAGGCGGTAATGATTAAAAATGAAAAACGTTTCAGAAGCAAATTTCACACCACCAAATATTGTCTAATCTTCATTTTTTGCAAGAAATTTTTTTGTATCCCCCCCCCTTTCCTATGAACTTTTCTCTTGTAGCTTATCTTGTAGAAATTGATGTAATGTTTGCAAATTAGTGGTGTTTAATCTTTTATATAGATAAACAGAATAGATAGACGAAAAGATACAAAAACAAATGATGAATATAAAATAATAATTCTAATATAAAAACTACAAGAAACTGTTTTTCTAATAAAAATCCTATGAAAGTAGAAAAAGTCTGATAAAAGAAAGATAATTTGATTAAAACATGAATACAAAGTTGAATAGATAAATTAAAAATGATTACAAGAAAACCCTTAATAGATATATTTCGTTAAAACTTGTAAATCTGAACTATTCAGGGGCGCAGCTAACTTTTAGGAGGGGGGGAGGGGGGTTTGTCATTCATGGAGTCATTCATCTGAACATTCAGGGGCGTAAATTGTTTTAGGTGGAAGAGGGGAGGGGGTCCGGGGGTATTTTTCATTCTTGAAGTCACTCCTCTGAACATTCAGGGGCGCAAATAGTTTGACTGAGGGGGTGGGGGAGCTTAGGGTCATTTTTATTCAATCTAAACTTACAGAGGCGCAAAAAATTCTACATAAGGGTGGGGGGTGCGGAATATCCCATTTATGAACCTTTGGAGCGCGAACCGTGCAATTAGTTTGCGGGAAATAGATTTGAATTCTTAAAGTTGTAAATATGAAAAAATATTTTACATTTTTTTTGTTTTTTTATTCCCCTTGGTCCTTTTTGTCTGGAAAATATAACTGTAAAACTGATAAATTAATAATGTTGTAATTATTTACTAATCCGTACATTTTCTTCTTTTTTAAAATCTTTTTTTTCAATTCTGATTTTCTCATTCCTATATCTTTGCAGATCTTAACCGATAAGTCAAATTATGAGCTCTGTTAGATCAAATAATCTAAGTTTGAAATATTAATTGTTTAAACCATCAGATTTCAAAGTTTGTGGCAAAGACACAATTCTTCAGTTTATGATTTTTTCATATTTGACAATGAATAAAGTCATCTTTTAAATAACACATTAGTCACAATATTTGATGTCATTTCATATTTGGTTAATTCATTGTTCTGAACATTTAAATTTATTATATTCATTACATATACAAAGAAACAAACTTCTAAATTATCTTTTTTTCTTTCACTGGCAGAAATCACACAATTAGAAAACGTGTTTTCCCTAACTAAGAATAATCTTGAAAAAACTGCCAGTTTATATATTTCTATTTGACAATGACTAATTGTCTTTTTTTACTGAATTCTTCAATAACAATATTTTTAATATTTAATATTTTTTATTAGTTAAATTTTGGTTTATTCATGATTTGAGATATTAATGTTGATATCATGTTCTCAATACTTAGTAAATATTCAAAGGAAAATACTGCTAAAATACTTTCTTGATGTTTTTTCTTATCTGATAAGAGTCAAATTCTTGATAAAAATCTACATGATTGTTTTTCCAAAAATGGTTTGAATACATTTTTATAGAGCTAGCACCGGGGGGGGGGGGGCTTCATCCATCTTCTTTTAAAATAAAATTAGTCCTTAAAGTCTTATGTTTATTTTTATCATTATCATTATCATATGGTAGGCGATTTAAGCAATATAATGAAGACGACTTTTTATTTAAGTTTTAATTGTTAACACGCTTTTTTCGAATTAAAAGGATACGAGTAATAATAGAGAAGTTTTTTTAATCGACACCTTTTTTTCGTGTATTTGTTTTCTATGCTGTTTAAAGCTTGATTTAAATCAAAATTGAAATCAAAATTAGTCTTTATTTTATTGATAAAATCGCCTACCACCGAATCATCAATACCAAATACCAATCGTAGTTTTATCATAATAATTATTATCATTACTATCATTACTATCATTACTATTATTACTATTATTACTATTATTACTATTATTACTATTATTACTATTATTACTATTATTACTATTATTACTATTATTACCATCATTATTATCATTATTATCATTATTATCATTATTATCAATATTATCATTATTATTATTATTACTATTATTACTATTATTACTATTATTACTATTATTACCATCATTATTACCATTATTATCAATATTATCATTATCATCATTATTATTATAATGTAATATAATTATTATTATTATTCCATATATGTGTTATATTGATACCCAGATAGTGCAAAAATAATGCAAAAAAATACATTTCGTTATAATAAATATTTTTATTCTCAGACGACCCAGTCTAGTCTGTGTGAAGACTACTTGATGCGCCCCCAAGTTGGTAGTCCCCTGGGTATCCCGGGGCTCCCTGCTCCTCCTAGTCCCATCGACATGAGTCCCACCAAGGATATCGAAAACCACCCTGCCTCCCAGGTCACCAACTTCATGTATGTTGGGAACATGAAGGATGCCGGGGATATTGATGTACTCAAAAGGTTGGGGATCGATCACGTGCTAAACGTAACGACGACATCCCCTAGCTACACACCGGATCCCGCCATTATTTACAAACAACTGCACGCCGCCGACAATGGGTATCAAAACCTCAAACAGTATTTTGACGAGGCGTTTACCTTTATAGATACGGCGCGGCGTAGCGGCGGAGCTGTTCTAATCCACTGCCAAGCCGGTGTATCTAGGTCTCCAACAATCGCCGTGGCGTATTTGATAAAGAACTACCCAATGTGCATGGTGGATGCATATAGGTTTGTCAAGTCGCGTCGCTCCATCATCTCCCCGAACCTGAACTTCATGGGTCAGCTCCTGGAGTTTGAGCAGGCCCTCAAGAGGGAGAAGACGGGCAAGCTCTGGGACAAGCCGGAGACGGTTGAGAAGTCATGGACGGAGAATAATAATACAACCTCGGACATCATCAGCCCTGGGTGCAATGTTTAAAAACCAAAATATAGATTTAAATTGTCAGATGTGTTCCTAAACCTACCCCAAACCTTCTCCAGGGTGGCAGATAGACTTTAGCTCCTGTTCTACGGTATCCATTAAACAAAACTAGATCCAGATTTAAGAAGAATTCCCAGATTCTTGACAATTATTTATATGTTATAGATTGTCTTGTACCTCATGTTATGAATATATTGGCAGCTACCCCCCCCTGAACTAATTTACCCCCTCCTGAGGTTCTCTATAAAATCTATATATATTTAATGAATGTTGTGTGTTGAGGCCTCAAGGTGGGTTGTAGAGAGGAGGGAGGCCATTCATAACCTCCTTCTGCGCAAAACTTTCTGCGCATGCGTCAAAATCTGATGATGTAACCTCGTATGACTCACAATTTCATTGACACACAGGGTGTGTCGAAATTAATGGTTATTCCCCCCCCCCCCTCGTAATTACGGGGTGAGTCATAATTAATATTCATCGAGCTTCTTTGCCCAGTTTAACTGGATGGCCAGGAAAATTACGTGATTTTTTACAGAAAAATCTTCATTTTGCATTTTGGTAAATCATCCCTTATTAGTTTTTCGTTTTTAGACTGATTGTTAAAGTACATATGTATAATATTATATATTATTAATAGGTGCTCCAATGTATACCAAAATTTTAATTATTATTATAAGATGTAGTTATTTGATAAATATAGATAAATTGATGTTCTTTTAATCTGAACTATTGAAAAGAGACAGATGTGAAGAAAATACACAATATAACAATCAAATAAAGTAATAAAATTTTTCTAATAGATTAATTAAAGAGGAATTTGAAAAAAACTGTTTTTTGGATTCTGCGAAAAATTGATAAAATCACTATTTTTGATTTTTACTATTTTCAAGAATCAAAATAAATGGAAATTCCGTTCCTTCAGGACTAAACAAGTCATATTTCATGTAGGCCTATGATAAACTGAATTTTTTACTTCTTTTTCCAACGCTTACGTACACGTACCCTTTCTTAATTATAAGAAAGAAATATGGATCAGGAGTAAATGCAAAATGGGTTTTTTTGGAATAACAATAATAAGAAAAATACATTTTGGTGATATTGTATATAGAAGATTGTAAAGATTAAGCAGGGTGTCTCATATAAAATGAAAATTTAGAAACGACTTAAAGGGACTATCTACGTAATTTTAACAAGTGGCATGTCCTATTCACAACGGTATTAAATTCTGATAATTTCTCATCGGATCTACAAGTCAATTTTATAGAGAAAATTGAAAATGATTTCGCTTATTCTTAGTATAGACAAAGGTTTAAATAGTGGGTCACTAAAAATTTCTTCTACCAAATAGATTGTCAAGTACAATAGATGGCAACGTAGAATTTTTACACTCTCAGTACAGCTGTAATCTTACGCCACAAGTGTCAACTCAGTTTTTCTGTCCGAAAAAATCATTAATAATAATGATAATTTTAGAATAAAGTGCGTTTCTTACAGTGAAATAAGTGCAATTATATGTGTTCTTTATTTTCTTTCTTAAACTTTTTAATTCAATCTTGGAAAACATGTCAACTGTTGTGAGAAAATTTAGTTTTCCTTGTTATATTTGACACTTGTGACGTCGTGTATCATTAGTCCATTTCTCTGTTGCCACCTATTGTACTTGATAATCTATTTCTCTGTTGCCACCTATTGTACTTGATAATCTATTTCTCTGTTGCCACCTATTGTACTTGATAATCTATTTCTCTGTTGCCACCTATTGTACTTGATAATCTATTTCTCTGTTGCCACCTATTGTACTTGATAATCTATTTGACTTTTACAATTCAATTACGGAACTCCTTGACCTCTGGTATCTGTCTAATGACTAATGGGTTGTCGAAAAAAATTGATACTTTTAAAAGGCTTTCCAGAATGTGGCCTATTTGCCTGACATCTTTAGTCCTATCCCAATAAAAATCTCATAAAAACTCTAACTTCATTAGTTATGGACATGGAGCTGGGTAGGTTTTAAAAAAAGTACCTGGGAAAAAGTTGAAATTTTTTTTTTTAATTTTGACAAATATTAACATGTGACACATAGTTTTTACATTATTTTTTTAGAGGCTTTTCGGCTTCGCAATGTATAAATTTTAGATCTGTAGCTTAATTAATAAAAAAAGTATAAATAATTTTGATTATTTTGTGTGCACGTACTGCACATTAAGGAAGGTCGATTTTTAAAGAAGTTTTGATCTCTCAATTGTCTCATGGTAATTACTTATGAAGTATAATAAAAACATGGGAAATGCTCATAAAGTATTATAAAAACATGGTAAATCCTTATGAAGTATTATAAAAACATGGTAAATGGTTATAAAGTATTATAAAAATATGGTAAATGCTTATAAAGTATTATAAAAACATTGTAAATGCTTATAAAGTATTATAAAAACATGGTAAATGCTTATAAAGTATTATAAAAACATGGTAAATCCTTATAAAGTATTATAAAAACATAGTTAATGCTCATAAAGTATTATAAAAACATGGTTAATGCTTATGAAGCATTATACAAACATGGTAAATGCTTAGTATTATAAAACATGGTAAATGCTTATAAAGTATTATAAAAAAATGGTAAATGCTTATAAAGTATTATAAAAACATGGTAAATGCTTATAAAGTATTATAAAAACATGGTAAATGCTTATAAAGTATTATAAAAACATGTTAAATCCTTATGAAGTATTATAAAAACATGGTAAATGCTTATAAAGTATTATAAAAATATGGTAAATGCTTATAAAGTATTATAAAAACATAATAAATCCTTATGAAGTATTATACAAACATGGTAAATGCTTATAAAGTATTATAAAAACATGGTTAATGCTTATGAAGTATTATACAAACATCGTAAATCCTTATAAAGTATTATCCAAACATGGTTAATGCTTATAAAGTATTATAAAAACATGGTAAATCCTTATGAAGTATTATAAAAACATGGTAAATGCTTATAAAGTATTATAAAAACATGGTTAATGCTTCTGAAGTATTATACAAACATGGTAAATGCTTAAGTATTATAAAAACATGGTAAATGCTTATAAAGTATTATAAAAACATGGTAAATGCTTATAAAATATTATAAAAGCATGGTAAATATGATGCTAACATCGCAATACCTGATTCACAACGGTACCCATAAAAGCGGTGTCTAATTAAGTATAAATTAGATATCTATGTTTTTAGTTCTAAAATCCGATTATTTTCAACTGGAACTGCAGGAACACATATATGAATTATCCAGGTAAAACAAAAATATCTCCCACATTCTTGATGAGATAAAGATTAAACTAGGGTATTGTTGATGAGATTAAGGTTAAACTAGGGTATTGTTGTCGATCGGGGCAGTGTCATCTTTACAGGGTCCCTTAATATTATGCTTACAGTCCCTTTAAGGATAGGGAGGCTTATATAAACCGAGTTTGAGGATAGGAAAGCTTATATATACGGAGTTTAAGGATAGGAAAGCTTATATATACGGAATTTAAGGATAGGGAGGCTTATATATACGGAGTTTAAGGATAGGGAGGCTTATATTTACGGAGTTTAAGGATAGGGAGGCTTATAAATACGGAGTTTACGGATAGGGAGGCTTATATATACGGAGCTGAGTAGGGATAGGGAGGCTTATATTTACGAAGTTTAAGGATAGGGAGGCTTATATATACGGAGTTTACGGATAGGAAAGCTTAGATATACGGAATTTAAGGATAGGGAGGCTTATATATACGGAGTTTAAGGATAGGGAGGCTTATATTTACGGAGTTTAAGGATAGGGAGGCTAATATATACGGAGTTTACGGATAGGGAGGCTTATATATACGGAGCTGAGTAGGGATAAGGAGGCTTATATTATACGGAGTTTAAGGATAGGGAGGCTTATATATACGGAGTTTTAGGATAGGGAGGCTTTTATATACGGAGTTTAAGGATAGGGAGGCTTATATAAACGAAGTTTAAGGATAGGGAGGCTTATATATACAGAGTTTAAGGATAGGGAGGCTTATATATACGGAGTTTAAGGATAGGGAGGCTTATATAAACGCAGTTTTTGGATAGGCTTACATATACAAAGTATAGGGAGGCTTATATATACGAAGTTTAAGGATAGGGAGGCTTATATATACAGAGTTTAAGGATAGGGAGGCTTATATATACGGAGTTTAAGGATAGGGAGGCTTATATAAACGCAGTTTTTGGATAGGCTTACATATACAAAGTATAGGGAGGCTTATATATACGGAGTTTATGGATAGGGAGGCTTATATATGAGGAGTTTAAGAATAGGAAGGTTTATATACACGCAGTTTTTGGATAGGGAGGCTTATATATACGGAGTTTAAGGATAGGGAGGCTTATATAAACGCAGTTTTTGGATAGGGAGGCTTCTAAATACGAAGTATAGGGAGGCTTATATATACGGAGTTTACGGATAGGGAGGCTTATATACAGAGTTTAGAATAGGGCATGGATAGGCCGAAGCCTATATGTACGGAGTTTAGAAAAGTTATAAATATATAGAGAAAGTAAAAAAAATATTGTCAGAGCTATAAACAAAAGAGTAGTTGAAAAGAAGAAATCTTGTGAGAATTCGAGAGAACACATGGAGCACAAACTCAGAAAAAAGCAACTCCGACGGTGAGTAAAAGTTGAAAAGGAAGAATTTTTGAAGGGAGTGTTAGTGTAGGTTTAAGTGAACCTCCATCCAAAAATTGCAATGTCTGATTTACAATGATACTCTTAAATGCTTTGCATTATTAGAATCCATGTTTTTGTTTCTTTAAACTGTTTATTTTCATTTGCGGTTTCTCTGCGGTTTCTGAGTCAGGAAAACGACGATATCTTCCACATTTAATTAAAAGTGTCGCAAGAATTTCCTTCCTATTGGTTCAATTTTTAGCGTTAATAATTTATAAATACAGTCATTGAAGAAAATCATGGAAATTCCCAGTCACCCCTCCCAACCAACCAATCAACCGACCAAGAAAATGAATGAACATGTTAATGTGTGAGAGGGGAGAGGGAATAATTTAGATAGATTAAATATCATTTATTAAAGTAACTTAGTACAACTAAAATCAGCCTTAATATGCTATCATTTAGTATTGATATCCTATAAACATATCGGCTGGTGCAGCACTGTATGTCCGATTCACAACGGTACTCTTGAAATCTTTAATCAGATAAAAAAGTGTAGAATATTTCATCGTTTTCCTTACTCGAAAAGTATTTGACTTGAAAATTTCTCCATTGCTTCTTTAAACAAGAAATATATCAGTCAGTACTCACTAGTGTATATATATATGTATATTTATAAAAATATATGTTAGCTATAGCTGCCCAAACCACTAGATAATATTGGATGACTTTTTTTAGGAAACCCTTGAGCAAGAATGTAAGGCAAG